AAAATAGGGGGAGAAGCAGGGACTGTGGGGTCCAGACTGAAGGAAGGTGCAGGGGTAGGGCAATGACGGGAGAGGGAGTAGAAGATTCAGGGTTGGGGTTCGGGGGCGGGGAAGGCTAAGGGAGAAGCAGTTGGCCTAGGGTGCAGGGTCGAGGCTGGGGGGAGGTGTAGACGGAAGATGGGGGAGGAACAGGGGGTGCAGAGCTGGGGGGAGAAGCAGGGACTGTGGGGTCCAGACTGAAGGAAGGTGCAGGGGTAGGGCAATGACGGGAGAGGGAGTAGAAGATTCAGGGTTGGGGTTCGGGGGCGGGGAAGGCTAAGGGAGAAGCAGTTGGCCTAGGGTGCAGGGTCGAGGCTGGGGGGAGGTGTAGACGGAAGATGGGGGAGGAACAGGGGGTGCAGAGCTGGGGCTGAGGGAAGGAGGGGGAGTGGTGGGGCTGTCCATCTTCAGCCATAATAACTTGAAATTCCCAGTGCACCCAATCTCCCCCAAGGAGAGTGGATCATGCTGGTTCCTTGTCTGTGAGGACATTTAATTAGGGACATTACAGCAAAATTGTACATAAATTTCTTCTCTTGATTTTAATGATACTGAGAGAATAATTCTTACACAAAAGACTGTGAAGAACATAGCTTCAATCCCTTTAGTGTACAAAATACCTGCTGCATACTGTGAACATCTGCTCACATTCCTGCAAAAGGGGTCAGGTGTGGACATGCCCTTTTATCTAAATGTATACCAGTAATTTGTGACATGATACTGTTAACCTTGGGGTGGAATGATCTTTATAACTCCCTGAAGCCTTTTGATGCATGTGGAAAGTGTTGCACACATTTCAAGGGAGTTGTGTGTGCTCATCACACCTCAGGATCAGGTTTGAAATTATTTAGTAGTCAACATTTATTGGCAAATAATAAATCAGTATGATAATTTGAGAAGCCTGCAAATAGCAAATCTAAACATCATCTTGATTAACAAGCAAGCTCAATATTAGGGCAAAATGTTACATTTTCTCTATGCATTGATATAATATCGTGTTAATGGAATTTACATATATGGTCAAATCAAGAAACAATTATGATATTTATATAAATTAGGCTGCAGAAACAATAAGTAAAGTTAAACCTTAAATATATACAGGATTTAGGGAATTATTATTATGCCTATTTTGTATATAAACAGATGAGTCAGAGACTGGTCTTAACGGAAGTTTGTGATAGAATAGAGAACTGAGTCCAGATCTGCTGAGTTCCTGTTTGGTGTCTTAACCACAAGTCCATCCTTGTGAAGCTTTATTTCGTATGTTGAGGAAGCCTGCTCTTGTAGATAGTATAATCTACTGCTTTCCAATCTCCTAGCAATATTGTTTGATAAGTGCCCTGTGATTCTTAGACAGAAAGCCTTGTGGAGTTAGAAAATAATGTTATAATGCTCTTGCTTCTTTTGTTCAAATGTTAAAAGCTGTTATGAAACACCTCAATAGAGAAGGGAGTATTTGGTGTTTCCATAAAGTTTAGTTTATATATTAGCTTGATGTTCCCATTTTAAAAGAAACATAAATGTTGGACTACTTTGTGTACCTACTATAGATTTCTTTTATCTTCTAAGATTGAACAGATATAGAGTATTTTAATATTTTTTTCATTTTCTTATTTGACAGTGCTTTTACTTAGTCAGTGCCCCTTACCAGTCAGTTTCTTCCTTTCTAAAAATACTTTTATGGTTATTAACATGGGAACAGGAAAAAAAGAGAGAGTAATAAAATAATCTTCACATCTTGTTTAAAGGATGCTGTATCAGTGTAGTAGACATCTTTAAAAATATTATAGTTGACACGTTCCTGTAAAAAAGAGGATGTACTCTGCATTAGAACTGAAAGTTGGTAATGGAGAGCATCTGAGGAGTACAAATTATGTAACTATTGCGTCTACTAAAAAGTACATATACAGTTAAGGGAATTGGAAAGTGAGTTACAGTATCATGCAACTTAATCTGTTTATTCCATGCATATGTGGCTTTGTTAGCATTTCTGTTATCTTGGGAACACAGTTGTCTAAACCCAAGTTTAGTCTTATACCAAATGCTGACCCTAAGTCAGAGCTGTGCTTTTAAATGAGTGCCATCCTTTTCTTGTAAGTGTGTGACGCATAAATATTTCCTGACACTTTTCTGGAAGCAGAGAGAGAGCTCTTCCCCCATGTGCTAGATAACCTTTCATTTCTTGACAAATTGTTTCATGTCCAACATAGTATTCGGTTTACAGAGTGCATGATGGGTGTCACATTTGCCCATACTCTAAATGTATTAAACTCATTATTTTTAAGGTGCTTACATTTTCTTCTATTTTATTCTCTGCAACCCAGCCATTGTTTCATTAAATTGTGGATTTTCCAGCTGAACAAGGGCTTGAAGTCATACTGTTTGGGTATGGTCAGTTATTGTTTGCATGGTGAAAAGATGAAATAGGATATACTTTCACTTTTGTCATCCTTTCTTTTTCTTTAGGTCAGGCCCTAAAGCGTAAGGTGCAGGCTTCTCTTCACGGTGCATGGACGGAAAGCCAATGCGCAGGTAAGGTGCAGAACAAGAAATGATTCTTCTCTGATCAAAACTAACAAGTGGTATTGAGTTGATTTAATAAGTAGCTAGCTCATAGCATGTTCATTTCAAAATGATCTGCTCCTCTCTTCCTTAATCCCATTGTATTTGCTGATTTTCCCAGCCCTGCACACTGACGGAAGCTAATTTCTGAATATCTGCATAGTTGAGTGTGAATCTTTGATCCTTGCATACACATTTCCTCTCCAGTCTCCCACTCTTTGTCTTTTAATCAACCGGAGCATTCAGGAGCATCATCTCAGCTCTTTGTGTGGGGGAAGGCAGCCACCCTACCATATGAGAATCAAGTGCTGCCTTCTGTCTTTCACACCTCTAAGCCACTGAGTCATCATTTCATTCCCTGCGCATATTTATGCATAATGCACACGTAATGCAGTTAATTTATTATGCTGGTTCAGACATATGCCATCAGCTGAGTCCTTTTAATTCACTCTTCTGTGCCTCTGTGTATCAGCAACCCACAGTACATACCATCAAGCATCTGGTCTTCTGATCTAGTGTGAAAATTCCCAAGTCTACTGATATCCAGCAGTATCCAGAGATAAAAGAAAGGACTATGCATCACTTTAAAGACTAACAAGATGGTCTTCCAGAATTTGATCTGAGGAAGTGGGTCTGGCTCACGAAAGCTCATCACCTAATAAACCATCTTGTTAGTCTTTAAAGTGCTGCATAGTCCTTTCGTTTGTTTCAGCAAGATCAGACTAACACGGCTGCATCTCTATTACTATCCAGAGATAAGTTATGGATGATTTGGGAGTACTGACTTTGAATTTCCTTGCATCTGTTCAGTTTGCCTTAATCATTAAGTAACATTCTGTTAGGAAATATCAGATACCTTGGAGGTCCTAGAATACCATGACGATAGGCATGGTCTAAGAACCTGAATAGAATGGAATCATTTTCATTAATAAGCCACAAATTCATCTATCAGTTTACAACTGGCTTAGTCTAGTGCAAGGAAGGGGGATTTCATTCTCCTCAACTAGAGACAAGGGGCTAGGGTTTTTCACTACACAAATTCAATTAATTGGCAATATAGTGTGAGCTGGGCTAGAAAGACCAAGAGCCTAAGATTTCATAGGGAGCTTTCCTCAGTCTAGAGGGTGCTTGTGATTGTCTCCTGGTTCTCTTGTCAGCTCTCAAAATCAATTAATGCCATGTCTACACTAGAGACCTTACAGCTGTACGAGTTCAGCTGTGTTGCTGTAAGATCTCTCATAGAGTTGACCTAAAATTTAGGTCACTCAGGGGTGTGTTTTTTTCAGATAGTGGAAGTGGCTAAGTAAACCACCCTATTTGTAGGGGAGTAGCCTTTGCCATGTGGAATGGAAGAGTTTGGGAGTGTTGCTCCAGGGCAAAATTTCAGGGGGCTTATGTAGTTAGGGAAACTCAGACGTGTCTTAAAATTCAGACATAAAAAGAAGCATCCCAATTTTCAGAAAGTGGCTCCCCTAATAGAAATAACCCACACTTTTCTGTGATATCATTTATAATTTCATCAGGGTCACTTTGCAGTTGGTGGCAGCATCTACCTTTCTCAGAGATGCTGTGGCTGCAAGCTTGTTCTCATTGGCCAGTTTTCTAAGTTGTGCATGGGGGTATTGCCGCAGTTAGTTTACACAATTCACACTGGAGAGAGTTTCCTAACAATGTATGTGAAATTATCTTTCTGAAAATGGGGCATGTCTTTGAAAGTGATGAGAGAGCCCCACCTTGTGGAATGAACTTGAAAAGTGCAGGAAGTGCAGTGAGAGTTTAACAATAAAAGGGTTTAGCAGAGGTGTTAGTAAGCGAGAACAGCGAGGCATATAAAAGGATAGAGTTGGGGGAGGGGGAAATCAGCAAAGCTATTCAAAGTGTACAGAGACGGAATAGAAGCAGCCAGTAGTAAAACCTAGAGGAGAGACACAGCTGAACCTGTGTAACCAAGATACGAGGGAAAGACAATAGTCTGAAACATCTGAATGTGATAATTGCGGAGGAAGTGGGGAGAAAAAATGAAACCAGTCTAAGATGAAAATGAATTATTTGAAATGTTCTGAAGAGAACAATTTTCCAGTAGTTAGGAAGTGCATTTGACATCATAATGAAAGAAAAAGATGTGATCTATTTTTAATTCTTCTTCCTTCAAGCATACAGCAAAATGTACCATGCAGTTGCAAAGTGAGGGTAAATTTTAAGTGAGAATATTTTGCTGCTAATGGTTGGGAACAGCGTAGAATCATAGAGCTGTATGGTTGAAAGGGAACTTGAGAGATTAATAAGTCCAACTGCTTGTACTGAGGTAGGACCAAGTAACCCTGGAGTCGAACACCCTGACAGGTGTTTGTCCAGTCTGTTCTTAGAAACCTCCAATGATGGGGATTTCACAACCTCCCTTGGAAAACGCCTAGTGCAATGCTTAGCTCTCCTTATAGTTAGAAAGTTTTCCTTAACATCTATTTCTCTTGCTATAGATTTAACCTTCAGTGGACATGGAGAATAGTTGGTCTCCACCTTCTCTATAACAGCTCTTGCTATATTTGTAGACTGCTATTAGGTCCCTTCTCAGACTTTTCTTGAGATTAAATTCACTCAGGTTTTTAACCTTTTCTCACATGTCACTTTTTGTTTCTCTCCTCTGGACTCTCTCTGGTTTGTCCACAGCTTCCTTACAGTGCGGTGCCCAGAACTGGAGAGAGTGCTCAGCTGAGGCCTCACCATTGCTGAATAGAGCAGGACAGGCACTGCCCAGGTCTGACATACAACACACATTAATACACCACAGAATTACATGAGTCTTTATTGCAACTGTGTTCTGCCTATTTAGAGGCAACTTATAGAGGGGTAGTGTACAGTGCAGTTCCTACCAGGTTGTGTGGCTGGTGGTAATAGTAAAAAGCAGTGCCTCTACTCCTAAGACAGGCAAGAGGGTGGTGCACAACTAGGTGGTGCCTAGCGGAGCACAACAAAGAGCTATAGCATTGTACCTGTGGCTGAAAATTTTATACACCTTAGCTAATGACAGTGTTAAAAAAACAAAGTTACTGTTTATATATCTTTCTGAATGGCTTCTAATTTTTAAAGTTCCTATCTTGACGGTTTTTTTTCCTTTTGGAGAAGGGGAGTTGATTTTTTTTTTAAGTTTTGTTGAAAATGTTTTGATTGTTTAGGATCCAGTCACACTAGCTGCAGTCCTTAGTATGTCCTTCCTTGGAGAAATTAACAACTTCTTGGAAACCACCGAAACGTCAGCGTGTGTATTGTGACTGAAGAGTCCAGGTACAATAATCATTGAGATAAATAAGTTAATGGATACTCTAGCAGCCTGGGACGTAACCATGATAGTAGACATGCTCAGATACTACAGTGATGAGTACCAGAAGAGTCTATAAAACAGATATCAACATGAGCCTTTTGAAAGCTGGCTCTTGTTAACTCACTGGGTTGCTATGGTTTTGACTGATTTTTTTTTCTCTAGCTATTTGCTCAGAAGTGCTTGTTTCCCTAGGTGGCCAAGGAAGCTGGAAGTGGTGGTATTTCTGTGTCCAGATCAGACCGGACAATGATGGACACAGAGTCACCAAAGACATCTAGCAAGAGATGAGTCAATGCTAATCCTGTTCATTGCTTGCTCCTTTGCAGGTGTACCAGTACGCGACCAGGAGAGACCGGAATGGATGTGACGAGCCGGTGCACCCTTGGAGATCCCAACAAATTGCCAGAGGGGGTACCGCAGCCTGCTCGCATGCCCTACATCTCAGACAAGCACCCTCGACAAACCTTGGAGGTTATCAATCTTCTACGGAAGCACCGGGAGTTGTGTGATGTCGTACTAGTTGTGGGTGCCAAAAAGATCTATGCCCATCGGGTGATACTTTCAGCCTGCAGTCCTTATTTCCGGGCCATGTTCACCGGGGAGCTGGCAGAAAGTCGGCAAACAGAGGTTGTGATTCGAGACATAGATGAAAGGGCCATGGAGCTGCTGATTGACTTTGCGTACACCTCCCAGATCACAGTGGAAGAGGGTAATGTCCAGACCTTACTGCCAGCAGCTTGCCTTCTCCAGTTGGCTGAGATCCAGGAAGCCTGTTGTGAGTTCCTAAAAAGACAGTTGGACCCTTCGAACTGCCTGGGTATCCGGGCTTTTGCTGACACTCACTCCTGCCGTGAACTGCTGAGGATTGCCGACAAGTTCACGCAACATAACTTTCAAGAGGTAAGCTGCAGGGTGTGGGATCTAGGCATTTCTTGTTTAGTGCCTCATTACAGATCCTGCCTTTCTACCTGCAATGTCTTTTGTTCCTGGTCAGCGTTCAGTAGCTCACAAGTAACCACCTTGTCAGACCATGTGCTTGGGTGCGTCTAGACTACATGCCTCCATCGACGGAGCCATGTAAAGTAGTTTACGTGACATAGTCAATGAAGCAGGGATTTAAATAATCCCTGCTACATTAAAATAAAAATGTCAGCACAGCATGGCAGCCTATCAGCTGATCTGGCACAGCGCCAGTATGCTTCATGAAACGAGGTTTACCGGAGCAGTTGACAAAGGCTTCCCTTGTCGACCGCGCCACATCTAGACTGCTGTGCTGTGCCGGATCAGCTGATTGTTGGCACAGCGCGGCAGCCATTTTTATTTTAATGAAGCGGGGATTATTTAAATCCCCGCTTCTTTGACTATGCCAAGTAAACTACTTTACGTGGCTCCGTTGACGGAGCCATGTAGTCTAGACATACCCTAAGAGGGAGAGGATATATCCGTACCAGTAGTACTATAAGTTGCATGATACTTCTGTATCACATGCTAGTTATTTTTCAAGTTGATGTTCTGGTGCGAATACTGTACATATTATAAACTGTGAAGCTGAAAACTAATTGGTGAGGGGCAATGTGTGTGGATTGCCTCTGGCATATTGTTCTTGAACAGAAGTTTGCTCTCAGAAGTGTTTGAGGTACTGCACAATTTATAGTACTATAAGTTGCATGATACTTCTGTATCACATGCTAGTTATTTTTCAAGTTGATGTTCTGGTGCGAATACTGTACATATTATAAACTGTGAAGCTGAAAACTAATTGGTGAGGGGCAATGTGTGTGGATTGCCTCTGGCATATTGTTCTTGAACAGAAGTTTGCTCTCAGAAGTGTTTGAGGTACTGCACAATTTAGCGCGCGCGCGCGCACCCACACCCACAACCACACACACACACACACACACACACACACACACACACACACACACACACACACACAACCCCTTTCCCTCCAGAAGTCAAACACAGCAACATCAATCCAAAAACTAAACAGAGAGTTCTAATAAAGGACCTCGAGAAGCTGTGGCAAAAAGTGCAGAGGCCTCAGAGAAGCCTTCAACTCCCTTCCCTAATCAGAACCTGGTTTTCACATCTGTCATTCAGCAGCAGTTATCTCAGAGTAATTCAGATGTGTAGCTGCAGATGTGACCTTTTAAAACCTGAGTCCAGTTTTTTTTTTTTTTTTTTTTTTTTTTAACTTTTTCAGTTATTTATAGCAGACTTGAAAGACTTGCTAGTCAATAGCTCAGTGAAGGAGTAGTCCTACTAGCCAGAAGTAAATAAGATCAAATAATGTGGGGTGCCACCAAGGAACTGCACGGGCAAAGCTCTGGTGAGACGCATAGCCTCGCCTTACATTCTCCTTTGGGAGTAATAGGGCTGCATTTTCTATTTGGATGCTTTTCCTGGTCACTGCTGGGTGGTGTGGGGGCTATGTATTTTGTGTCAGCCTTTGGCAAGAAGGTGTTTTCTGACCTCCCAGTTGTACATCCCTGGTGGGAGAAGGAGCTTTATACCTCTCCTACCTACTCCAAAGCCTGCACTCCTTTACCCCTCATAGGAGGTAGGAGGCTTGAGAGGAGTTACCTCGGCTCGACCAATTACCTTGCTACCATGCTGTATGATAAATTGTCCTGATTACACTCAGCATGAAAACAATAGTGTAGCCCAGTGGTCCCCAACCTTTTGGGGCTGCTGGATGCCCGAGGGCAGGGCCGCTCACATGCCGGGCACCTGGGGGCGGGGCCGCGCATGCGCTGCGTGCCCGGAGCTGGCGCCACCCATGCTCCGCACTCCCGGGGATGGTGCCACAACTGTGCTGCACGCCCGGGGTGGGGCCGCCCATACGCCGTGTTCCTGGGGCCAGCACAGCCGATGTCCCGTGCGACTGGGGGCAGGATCGCCACCGCCCATGTGATGCGTGCCCAGAGCCGGTGCCTGTGCCACACGCCCAGGAGCTGGCAGCCCGGGGGCAGGACTGGCCCCGATCACTCGGTGGGCGCACAGAAATGGCCTGGCGGGTGCCATGGCGCCCGTGGGTACCACGTTGGGGACCACTGGTGTAGCCCATTCAAGACCTTCTGTAGAGTTATGAGTTTTCAGTAAGGAAGCAGCCAAATAGTCTATTAATGTTAGCCAGATAATAACCTGGAAAATTGGGACAAAGATGATGATTAGACATTTTTAAATGACACAATTGATAAATTATGTATGCTAGCAAGTACACAGAGGTAGCAAGTCCGTTGGTAGAAACACTAGCATTACTGTCAGGGTCTTACAAGACCTCCCATTATAAAATAAATTGGAGAGTTACAGGATTTTGCTCACTTCGGGACTCTGCTACTTTTCAGACTGATGCTCTGCAACTATCAGGGCCAGTTGTAGGCACAAGTTACTGTTTGTGGGGTTGGAAGGCAAACTCAACAGACATGCTGGCAGCCCAGATTCTACCTCCTTCTCTAGTAGTGGGACTACAGGGGCAAGGAACTTAATCTCAGTGACATGATCGGAATCCCTTCTAGCTACATGTGAGCATTTGGGGTATTTTCGAATACACACCATATTTTGAATCAATTTGTCAAGTAAAAAAAAGGACCCTTGCAGCTAATCACTAGAAGAGTGGAACTTAGGGCTGTTAAATTTCGATTAATTAATTGAATAGTCGATGGAATTTCCATCGACTATTCAATTAGTTGATAAGAACTTCTGCGTTCCGCCTTTGAAATGTACAAGAGCCCCAGAAGGGGCTCTTGTGCATTTCAGAGTTGGAATACGATGTGGAGCTCAGGGCCAGTGAGGAGTCTTGCTGGCCCCAGGTTCCATGCTGTGCTTCGTCTTTGAAGTGCACAAGTCCCTGATGGGGCTCTTGTACATTTCAAAGCTGGCTGCCTCTGCACCCCTACCCTCTCCCATGGAGCTGGAGCTGGGGGGAACTTGCTTTTAAGCCAGCTTCCTCTAGCACCCCTCCTTTGCCCCCCCCCCCCGTAACCTCTTTGTGATAGACGCAGCAAAGGGGGGGAAGCAACTAGTCAACTAGTGTGTTGTTGATCCGATAAGCTTTTGCTTATTGGAAAGTTGACTAGTCGATTAGTCACTTACATCCCTAGTGGAACTCTTTGCTAAGAGAATTTCTTTTTATTATGCTTAAGATCTTTCAGTCAGGCAGTTGAGTCTTGCATGCACCTTACTTCCTGGGGAAGGCCAATGTTCACGCACTTCATGTTGCTGAGCCTCCTTCCCAGCTGCCATGGTAGAAACTGGTCACATTTGTGTGGGAATGGGATGGCTGTCAGCAATTGTGCCGTGTACATAGTTCTGTTTTATTTAGGTTATTTTGCCTCTCCCATTGCCGTAGTATCTGAGTGCCTCAGTTTGATATTCAGTCTGTCGTAGCACACAGCCACCCAGAAAGGTCTCCAGTCTGCAGCATGGCTATGTAGTGTAGCTATCATGGTGCTATGATTTGGTGTGAGCATAGGAATGTGAAGAAAAATCTTGATCTTCTCGTGCTGGCTAATGTCTCCAGGGAAACTTTCTTCTTATCTTAGGTACAGAAGAAATTATTAATATGTTTGCAGATTGTCAGAGGCTTATATTTCATTGGAGATCAGTCCTTGGGATTTTTCAGAGGCTCTCATTCCCTTTAAGTGCATTTGAACTCTCTCACTCTGTGTATATATTTAGAGAGAGTGAAAGAGACAGAGGTAGGATCATATGAGTCCATCTGCTGTCCTGAGATACTTTCCGTTCTCCTACAAATCAACAAGAAGAAGATTTTTTTCTACATATCTACAGTGTCTCTGGTAATAGTTTTTTTGAGACTTTTTACCTTGAGTTCTGTTTTGGATTTATTACGTTACAAATAAAACATCTTTATTTTGATGCAGCTTTCCTCTCAATTGTTTACCAGCTGCAGAACATGTTTCTTTCTATTGAATGTGTTCCCCATGGCAAATGAGGAGGCTGGCTTAAAAGAGAGGGCTTGCTTTTTCTGAATTTTGAAACTAAATCAGTGAATTCTGTGACTTACCACTTTACAGAACTTTTCTATTCCCCATTCATTTGCATTACCATCTAAAAGTTGTCTGAACTGCACTGTTGGAGCCCAGTTTTGTGAAGCAGTGAGGATTCTCCACTTCCACTGACACGATCAGACCATTAAATCCTCTCTAAAGGGAGGGATTTCTCCTTTAACTTTGAGGTAAGGTCCAGTAGCAGTCAATACTCTGAGATGCTGTCCTTAACCTTTTTCTTTATCCTCGTCTTTTTGAACAGGTGATGGAGAGTGAGGAATTCATGCTTCTTCCAGCCAATCAGCTCATAGATATTATATCCAGTGATGAGTTGAATGTTCGCAGTGAGGAGCAGGTGTTCAATGCCGTGATGGCTTGGGTAAAGTACAGCATTCAGGAGAGGCGACCCCAGCTACCCCAGGTAACCTTGAGCATGGTTCACATGCATCTGTTCTGTACAAGGCAAGAGACATTGGATTTTGTCAGTGTACGTAGTGGAAATAATTCCCCTCTTGACTTCCCAGAGGTGTTAAACCACTCACATTTTCTAGTCAATGAGCCCTGTGTCCAGATATATTAGCAATGGGCCCTTCCTATCTGTAAGCATTTCTAAACATAAGATCTGTTATACTGGATCAGACCCTAGGTTCCTCTACTCAGTTCTGTCTCCAACAGTGGCCAGTGCCCGATTCTTCAGAGGATTGTGACTGGAATAGTCTGCCCCTTGGGGAAATTTCTTCTTAATCCCGGGTAGTTGAATTATTCCTTGAAGTCTGAGGGTTTAATATTAGAGCTAGCCACGACAGTATCAATAAAATATGCTCTTTTGCGGTAGCATTATCAGTTTTAACAAAGTTTTTCAGGGGACGGTTCCTGAGTTCCAGGATTCTCTGGTCTTACAAGAGAAAGAGAGATTCTTACTGCCTTTGTTTGCCCTTTTTGTTCCAAAATGAACATTTCAGCACAATTGCATTTAATGAGAACTTTCAAAAATTGTCATGAAACATAATTGTCATTCTCCTGTCAGCTCTAGTTTATACCGCCTTACACCTCTGTGACCCCTTGTAGGACCATATATTCATCTGTGTTTAATTCTGTATTCTACTATACCCGCGTGTGCATTTAAGGTATTAGCTATTTATGACATTTGTTGTAGTTCACTTACTAAACAGCGTAGTGTACACTCCAAAGGGTAAATAGATGATAAAACAAGTGCTTTGGGCAATATGTAGGGACATCTGCAGTCTCCTAAGGATTTTCAGTCAGGATGTTGGTTTCATCCATTAGCAGTCCCATTTGATCAGCTCTTTTAAAATCTGATGTTCTCCTCCTGGATACCTCAATTGGTTTATTGAATTGCACAGGTGCTGTAGACCAAACACTGCACTGAGCTAGAATGCGACGATCTGAATTGTTACTGGGGCTGTTACTAGTCTCCTGTTGCTGATCTCTCTGCGCTTGTGACTAGGGATGTAATAGTGTAACCATTTAAACGGTTAACTGACAAGTATGAGCTTTTTGGTTACTGTAATGTTACACGCTGGTTCCCAAGGAGCCGTCTGCCAGCCTGCGCTACTGTATCAGCGCCTGCAGTGCAGGGCGGCAGCCAACTTGCTGGGAGCCAGCTACTACCCTACTTTTGCTGCCTCTGATACAGGGAGTAGGGCCAACTTAAAAGCAGACTCTGGCAGGCACTGGCTCCTGGGGAGCCGGCTGCTGCTTCGTGCTGTCGGCTCTGTGGTGTAAAGCTTATACTGCAGAACCTGCAATGCAGCCGGGAGCTGACTCCTGGTGCGTCCAGGAGCCAGCTGCGCTGTGGGCTCTGCATTATAAGCTTTATGTAGCAGAGCCTGCAGCGTGTAACCACTAAGATTTTTTTAACAGTTGCACGGTTGCCTAATTAAAACCTTTCAACATCCCTGCTTGTGACTGCAGTATCACTGAACTGGATCACAAAGCACATGGAAACAAATTAGCCGAGATTGCTCTCTCTTTCGCCGCTCCCCCCATCTGTAAGGTGGTAAGTGTGTTGCTTATAATGATGTCCTGTTTTGTCTCATAGGTGCTGCAACATGTCCGTCTGCCACTGCTCAGTCCCAAGTTCCTGGTGGGGACAGTCGGCTCAGATCCACTCATTAAAAGTGATGAAGAATGCAGGTGAGTCCTGCTGGAAAGAGGGAAACTGAACAGTGCACTTATGTAAATTTCAGTTCATATGGATACTTGATCTGTATTTGCTGTCCAAGAATATTGTGGTTTGTCAATGGTAAAACTAGGGTGATACTTAGCAGTTTCCCTTTCTGGGATTGGGTAGAGAGGAGATAGAAGGAAGCACTGCATTGTGAGTATGTATTTGTGTAAAAGTTACCCTTGAAGATTTTTAAATCAGTATTTTGGTGGAAGAGAAAGGTTAGGATAGGCAATTTGCCCTTCTGATAAATCACCCTTCACAAGATAGACTGTGTTTATAGCGCTTTGACTGTAAAGCCAGTTGCCTAAGTTACCATGAAACCCGCTGACCACTACCCAGATGAAGCCATATCGTAAGCAACCTAAAACAGCTTTTCTGTATCTGAAAAGGTCATGACTTCAGTGACCAGTGTAGTCAGGGGTTCCCAAACTTCTTTTCCTGAGGCCCATCCGTGCAGCTACAATAGGCACCGCGGCCCACTATTAACACTTCTTGAGGAAAATTTATTAATTTTTAATTATTACATGTATATAAACTATAACTGTGTAAATAAACAATTATATTCTTCTTTTTCATGTTAATGTAAACAGTTGTAATGATAGAAATCCCCAGCAATATGCACTCAGAGAAACGCTACAAGATCTTTGAAACCAAATAGTTATATTAAAACTATACTTCACTTTAAAAAAAGTGCTGAGAGCAAAATGTGGCATTCAGACAGGGAAAATGAAATGCATAATACACAGGGCATAAAATTGAACAATAAGCAATGCAACAATGTTAACAAAATCATTATTAACAACATTATTATTGATTTTAAAACAAAATAGTTGTTCAGCTTTGAATACTATATTACGTGTTGGTTCTTTTTTAGTGTCAAATTTTAATTTCTCTTCTATGTAAATAAAGACCCAATTCTACCTCCACTAAGTAGAAAATAATCAAATACGGTAAATCAAAATATAAAATAACAGTTATAATATACTGTGGCAATAGGTAACTCATTCTGTCTGATAAAGGAGAAACCAAACTTCCAATATATGTCATCATATATGCTTACCACTTTCTTTACTTTTTTGGATGGCTCATTTCATGTAGCTGTTGATGGTCTGGGGCTTTCAGTATCTTCTCCACCAGAAAATCCTGCTCACTTTCTAAAAATAAATTGATCTACATCAGATTGAAATACTACTTGTCATTTTTAACAGTTGTAAATGGTGGTCTTTTGGGTGGGTTACTAAGGTACCTTGAAGTTAAATGTGCCATTGTATCCATGAAAATTAAATATTGACATATTGCAGCTTGTTTTTTTTAATAAATATTTTTTTTTCTATATTCTGTCCAAAATATACAGGTCAAAACATGACATTTGTATTGCTCTTATTTAGCTTATGAGAGTCACACAGCGTTAAATATTTATTAAGACTGGACAGTGCAGTTGTGCTGGTGGATCACTTGAGACTGTGTCATGGCCTTGACCTTGCTTTAAGCTAGATGAGAGGAAGCTGCATACCCAATTTGGTGGTCCGAGCTCTTATAGTTTCAGGAGGTCTTCAACAAATGGGCTTATGGATGGATTGACTCACGGACAGAGACAGAAGCACAACTCTCTAAAATATATATTTAGATATTGTACATAAGTCATTCATATTGTTTAGTGTACCAACAACTGGAAAGTGATTGATGCTGGCTGCTTTTTTGAAGGATGGCATGTCCTAAATAGTACTTTTTCCTGAAAAATGCCACTATCCCACAGACTTTTAGAATAAATGTTTTCTCTTGCACAGGGACCTGGTGGATGAAGCGAAGAACTACCTGCTGTTGCCCCAAGAGCGGCCGCTGATGCAGGGACCAAGAACTCGACCACGCAAACCCATCCGCTGTGGAGAAGTGCTCTTTGCAGGTGTGTACAGTGCCTGAGACTTTGGCTGAGAGGTTCCAGTCTATATGCTCTTTGTTTCAAGGTTAACCCATATAGCCAACCCTAACTGTCAGCTCTTCAGAAGTGACTTTTTATGTTACCTGTCCCATGCTTTCAGTTAACCTACAGTTTCTTCTGGTCGTGCATTATCTTTGTCTTTCCAAATAGAGTAGTGGCCCATGATTAGGGCTTCCAGGCACTGTGGTAACACTATGAATAATACACGCAAAAACAACTGGACTTGCAATGAGATTTGTTGGTCCTCAACTCATTTAGGCACTTCTGAAAATCCCATCCTCTTTTCTTATTGACAGTCTCCCATGTAAACCGTTCTGTCTCTTTGGGATACCGTGTCAGAAGCATCTGTGGGCAGAAGGGATAGATAATTTATTGCGGACACATGCCCAATGTGGATTTGATGTGCTAGCCTTACACTGCCGCTTTCATTGATTCCTGCAGTGGGAGGCTGGTGTAGCGGGGATGCAATTTCCAGTGTGGAGCGCTATGACCCTCAAACCAATGAGTGGCGGATGGTGGCTTCCATGAGCAAAAGGCGCTGTGGAGTTGGAGTCAGTGTTCTGGATGACCTTCTGTATGCTGTGGGAGGCCATGACGGTTCTTCTTATCTTAACAGCGTAGAAAGGTAGGTCTCTAGCCAAACATTGCAGGGTTAACTTGCATTCAGGACCTGGTGCTGTCTGCCTGGTTCATATGCTGAAAGGCTAAAATCCTACCTCTAAGCCCATCTCGAGTCCATAAACTACAGCGCGTAAGCTGATGTGTGCCAATGGTTACTATCCTTTTCAGCATCTTTATCACTGCTATACTGAACTAAGACATCAGACATAGCAGCATTCCAGCCTTACTTCCCTAATTTAATGGTATTTTTAGTCTGAGTTCCGCTCTGAGCTTGCTATGAGGCATAGTCTGTGATGTGTAAAGGAGTAGGGAAATGAATTGTAAAGAGCAGGCCTGGCTGTAGTCTATGATGGGCATGGCTATCTTTGCTAGCCTCCTCACACATGTATTCCCATTGGCTTGTCTGTGTTGCTCATGATGGTGAGACTGCAGGCATGTATTTGCTTGTAAGATAGGGAAAACTATCCAGACCTTTTTTCTGGGGTTGGTGAATAGAGAATTATGTGAACGCTGGAAATACCTATGAGAGAATAGGAATGGAGGTCAGATTTGGGCCTTTGAAACCTTCGGTGATTTCAAGTAAAAAGCAGTGGAGCCAGGTTTTTGTGGAGTCAATAACTTTCCCAGGAATGACTTCATGCTGAGTGGAGGTTTTACTGCCACCAGAAGCATGGGAACAATTAAGGACTTTGGTCCATCTTCCTTCTAGTTCCACTCTGAATTCAGTGTGAGCAAGTTCTGTTACACTCCAATCCCAAACCACAAGGGCACTGGAGATTTCTTTCAATAAACCATGCAGACTTGAAGTATTTGACACACTTTGTAGGTACGACCCGAAGACGAATCAGTGGAGCAGCGATGTGGCTCCCACCAGTACCTGCAGGACCAGTGTTGGAGTGGCAGTTCTCGGGGGATATCTGTATGCTGTTGGTGGCCAGGATGGCGTCTCTTGTCTCAACATTGTGGAAAGGTATTAAAAATAAAGAAGCGGGAGGGGAGAAGGAAAGATCTTAGAATAAGGATCAATTGGTGCAGGTGAGTTTGGAAGGAAGTGACAGAAGCTGAGTGGGTTTTTAAACGATTGCATTTGGAGCTGGATGTTTTTAGTTTAAACCTGAATTCCAGCAAACAGCAACTGTCTGCCTTCCTGCCACGATGCGCATACGCTGAACCTCTTCTAGATGTTAGAACAAGAATAGACGTGTTAGTCTTACCCTGCCTGAATGCAAAATACGGGTCCCCAGATTCCTTTGGTTGCTTAATGCAGTTCCCAAGAGAAACAGGACCTGGTGTTTATATTTGAAAGCTCAGCTGGTCTGTTTTTTCTTGTGGCAGGTATGATCCAAAGGAAAACAAATGGACTCGGGTGGCTTCCATGAGCACCAGGCGCTTGGGAGTGGCGGTGGCTGTGTTAGGGGGCTTTCTCTATGCTGTGGGAGGTTCTGATGGGACGTCCCCTCTCAATACAGGTATGTCATTTCTCCGTACTGCACTGCAGTCGGTACCTTCCATTCTCCTGTTCTTTTGCCCATAAGCCTTTCCCACACCACTGATACTTGTATGATCTGTTTTCTGAGTGGATTACTCACCTGAAGTTGATTTTGCTACACATTAGTACATCCCCATCCTCCTAAACAACTGCTAGCTGTGTGTGTGTGTGTGTGTGTGTGTGTGTGTGCGCGCGCGCGTGCGCATCTACTTCTCACTAGGACGTTGTGGTAGGCAGTTACTTTGTGCATTTGCTTAGCACTTCCCTGTGAAGAGCTGGTGCATTATCTCTGCTTTTCATTGGCTTGGGCAGCAGGATACGTACTGAAGGTCACTCTGTCGCAACTGCAAATGGCAATACAGACCAGCTGTAGCTTCACCGGATTGTCATTCCTCAGATGAGGTGTATTAAATGATGGAACATCTGGATTTCCTGTCTGTGTTTGACTGGGCTTGGGGAGAAGGGACAGGGAATAGCAAGCCTTCTCAAGAAAGCAGGGAAAAGCAGAGTGGACAGTGACAAACCGACACAGTATTTTTTCTGGTGTGTGTGTGGGGGGGGGGGAATGTTGTCTCTTTACAGACTGACCCATGCCAAGGTTACAAGCACAAAGGGCTTCAGATAGTGTCTAAAGATTTATAATGTGACTTTCTCCACAGTGGAGCGGTACAATCCCCAGGAGAACCGCTGGCATACAATAGCTCCCATGGGAACTAGACGGAAGCACCTAGGCTGTGCGGTATACCAGGACATGATCTACGCTGTGGGAGGCCGAGATGACACCACTGAACTCAGCAGTGCCGAGAGATACAATCCCAGAACCAACCAGTGGTCTCCTGTGGTGGCTATGACATCACGGCGGAGCGGCGTGAGTAGTTCTTCATTTGCCAGCTTGTGCTGGGCATAAGTACTTAGCTGGAGCATAGGGAAGGGTTCTGTGCATCTCGTTTCCTTCACTTTTCTGGCATCTAAGAGGGAAATGTTTGTAAAAAGGCAAAGCACATTGCCACAAGGAAGTACAAGATGTAGCAGTAATAGCTTTCTATGCTGCAAGGGGTGAGTAGATGATGACAGCTTTTTCATACAACTGGGAAGGAGTAATTGCTTTTAGGAACGTTTTTTCCAAAGGAGTTCTGACCACTAACACTGAGTCATGAGCACTTAATTCTGAAGCAGGGGAATTCTTGCTCCTGACTCAGTGCTGATAAGTAAGCCATAACCCTTTCCCCCCTCCCCTGCACCTCCCATAACCTTAGAAGCCATTTGAGGAAAGAAAATGCCATTAAACATACATCGTACACTTTGGCGGAATTAGCAAATGAACATGGTAGCTCTCCGGCCACTGAGACAAACTAAACGTAGTGATAAATGGTCACTGACAGCAAAAATTATGCCACGTTCAGGCTATTTCCTGTTCCAAGAAACTGGTCCTCTCAAATTGATTGGTACACTAGATCTTACATCAAAGAGACCACCTGTAGCCTTTCCTGTAATAAACTGTCTGAAGGTTTATTGATTAGGAAGAAGGCATGAGAGTTATTTACAGGCTAAAGCAAGCAAACATATACAAACAAATGACTTACCATCCGAATCCTAAGAGCGACAGCATTGCAGTGATCTCTCAATTCAAAGTGACATTAGGGAGACTCAGGAGGCAGTCCCTGGGGATCTCTGGCTTCATCTTAGACTAGAGTCTGACCCTTCAGAGATCAAACAGCCAAAAAATGGGAACATTTTCCTGTGACTTTATTTCCTTCATTCAGCTTCAAGGCCACAGACAGGGCTTCCTTGCATGCAGCATTTCCAAGGTGTGATAGGGCCATTAACTCATCCTTTGTATTACAATGATCCTTGATGGCCTGTCTGACTTTGGTAGTCCTTCAGGGTGAGCAGGGAGAAGGATTGCCATGCCTGCCTGGGTTCACAAGTTCAGTGCAAACACTTCTAAAGTGATAAAGCAAAATGTATGTATGTTCTTATAGCACAGGACACAGACGTCGTGTTTAGTGCATGCAGCAACTTGCAAGCATTTCATAGACTCTACACACTAAAAGCATTCCTGTAAGACTAAGACCTATTTTGAGCAAAACTAACACACAGGTGACTTGGTCTGCTCTCCGGCTATGAAGCGGTCAGTTCTTATCTAATGCTTGTATCAATGTCTCATTGACAGCAGTGACATTTAAATCACTTGTAAAACCACCGTGCTGATGTGAAGGGTGCGACATAACTGCCAATGCACCAAGCAGCGAAACGCATTTTTTGTCTTCTATCAAGAGGGAAGCTCTAATCTCCCTTTCCTTTCGGCTGACTCTACTCAGCATCCCAGAGAAGCAGCCGTGTGTCGTGGGGGAATCTTTACTGAAATGTTCTAGTTGAATTCAATTTCGTGCTAGGTTGTATGAATTTGTATTTTAACAGAAATACTAAAATATAGTCATCCATTCTCTTACCCCTCCTGCCTCCAGGAAAGTGTGTGCTATGTATTGACATTTCCCTAGCGCTTGACTCTGCAGAATGATTGAATGGCCTTTTATTGAAGTGTGTTTCTAGTGAGAGAATGTAACCCACACATCTAGTGTGGTTCATGGTCCCATGTCCGGTGGCGGTTACAAGAAGCCTCCAAGACTTGCAATGAAGCATGAATAACATGTGGAGGGGTTGTGTTCCAGGTTGGCCTTGCAGTAGTGAATGGACAGCTAATGGCAGTGGGAGGTTTTGATGGCACAACATATTTGAAGACCATTGAAGTATTTGATCCTGATGCTAACACATGGAGGTAACCTTTCAATTCATGAAACAGTGAAATTGCAAACCTTAGGCCTAAATTACGCCTATGACTAGTCTTCCCAGCAGCGTAGAGATGACCTTGAAAGTCCTTTACCCACTTCTGTGAATTAAGCCGCACAACACCATTAGGAGGTGGGGAAGTGGTGATTTGCCATCACACAGCTGGGGAAACTGAGGCCCAGAGAAGGCGAGTGACTCGGTTATGTGATGAGCCATTGGCACACACTGTACTAGAACCTTGACCTCTGAATCTGAGTGCTTAAGCCTATAAAAATGTGCGAGCCGAAGTGGGAAGAAGTATACATGCATTGAGCCACGCCTGCTCAGTTTACCAACAAAAACAGACCCGCACCTTAAAGATACAGAGTGCAGAACAGAATTGCAGCATGCGCCTTTGGGGCTCTCTAGGCTGCGCAATTGTATGCGCTGATTCTAGAATCTCCCTCGGTGGGGATACTCTGTATTAAGCACTGCAATTTGAGTCTATGCAGTTCTGTTAAATCTGTAGGACCTGTAGTTAGAAAAATCGCACTTTGACTTGTAAACTGAGCAGGTCTGGTATGAAACCACTGGTGGAAGATGTGTTCTGATCAGAGAGAGTTTTTTCCAGAATTATTTTTCAGACCATAATTGCACTTGAAAACAATGGTTTGTACATTAATCTAATCAATTTCCAATTCCTATTTATATCCATGATAAGGATTTGCTGCTGTAAAAATCTGTCAGGGTGCAGGGAATAGGAAGAAACTAATGTCTTTGTCTTATTGAGCTGGCCTAAACTAATATATTGACCCTGGGGTGGATCTGTCCAGGCCCAGGCTACTCCTTTCAGGGGAAGAGCAAGTCCTGTCCACCCCAGCCCAGCTGGGACTAGCATCTGAGCCTGGTAAAGGGTTGGAGCTATTAGCTGGGGTGTCCCCAGCAGTGACCAGGTGCTCCAGGTGTCTAAAGTGATGCAACTGCATTGCTAGGGAAGGGCACGAGACCACTCTTGCGATCTCCCTTTGCTTCTCATACAGAGAGTCATTTTCTGTAGGGAAGCAAAGAAATCTACAGGGGACATGAATTCTGTGCACATGCTGTGGTGCAGAATTCTCCCAGGAGTAACTTGATTCTGCTTTTTAGCTGGATGGGGACAGCCACTCTCCCTGGCAGAAGTAATAGGACATACAGTCCAGAGACCTAGCCAAAGCATTTGTTTGTAGTTAATACAAGTCATTATTGAGGATACTAGTTTGTTTGTTACCAGCACTGAACTGAATGAAGCTGGTGATTGTCTTCTGTAATCTTCTCTCTTTTTCTCTCTCTCTGTTGGTTGCTGGACTTTTTGCTTTGTGCAGCCTGTGGGGTAGCCGTGTTAGTCTGTAACTTAAAAAACAGCTAATAGTTCTGCAACACCTTACAGACTAACAGAAAATGTAGATGATATCACGAGCTTTCGTGGGCACAACCCACTTCTTCAGAAGTGAAGTTTTTCTCCTGTTTGAGGAGCACCCCTGGGAAATCCTTGATGTGTAATCTAGGGTTACTGGGAGGCATTAGTGACTGTTACTGAAAGAACTCCACTGTCAGATTTCATCCAGCAGACTAACTGCATCAGCATATAGAGGAATATGCAGCTGAAGGAAGAAATGGGAGCTGATAGGCATCAGATTTCTATCTGAAATGTGGGCACTGTTTCAGTATCAAAGCATGGAGAGAACAGATGTTAGAAATGCATTATACATTGGTCTGTTCAGCTGTGTATAGTATAAAGCAGATATAAGTCTGGAATTAGCTTTGCAACATGTAGATCTACCCTTGCTCCAGGGTTGCCCAAAGCATAGTCAGAGGGCCAAATGCAGCCCAGAGTTGCTGCCCTCTGTTCCTGTAACTGCAGGAGTGGAAAGGAAATTCAGTGCCATTTTCTATTTCTGGAAGAGATCCATATATAAGCAACTATGGTTATTTAATTTAGATGGGTTTGTATAGAGCGGGGACTCCTGCTTTATTCATCAGATCGCTTAATCACAGGCATCACCCGAAATGGAGACCAACAGTTGTGCTGAAGTACACATGCTCCCTGCAGAGGCTGAGAAGACAGTACATTAAGAGTCTCTAAGCAGTATGACCAGCAACATCTTTTCTTTGCAGGTTGTATGGCGGAATGAACTATCGTCGGCTAGGAGGCGGTGTAGGCGTTATCAAAATGACACATTGTGAATCCCATATATGGTAAGCATCTAATGGAGGGAAAGCTCTTGGTTCTCAATCCTATACAAACTGAAGAGACTTACTGACTCTGGAGCTCTGTGTGGCTCTAGTACAATATAGACCCACCTTAATTCTTTGCCGGTGCCTCTTTCTATGGAATTATACGTAAAATGACTTTTTTGAGCACACATGCCTAATGCGAGACCACCTTGTCAGACTCCAGGGAACCACCTATCACAACTAGAAGCTTTGCTTATGTCCATATTTTTTTCTAAACCGTGTCTCAGTTTTTTGAATAAACTGAACTGTCTGTTACTCTAGCATAAACAGTGACCTGGGACTGCAAGCTGTGCCAGGGGTCTGGCAAAGAGGAGGGCGTCTCCTCCTGGAGCAGTGGAAGTGTCATCCATGCAGTGGGCACGAAAGAGGAAAGTGATACTGAAAATAGTGCTTTTGCCTTATTTACAGAGAGCTTCATTTAAAAAATTTTTTTACTTGACCTGAAAGGTGCCACCTTTGCACAGAAGCTTTTCTGAGTGCAGAGTATATTTATTTTTCATTTAATTTGTATCATCTGTTTTCTTTATATTGCTCACAGTGAAAGATTCCATCTCTTTTAATTTATATTATATCTATATGTAATGAGGGATTGAGTTCTGACAGGCGGTTGGTTGGAGCAGGGCTACATCCTGTCATGCTTCTGGATACTGCAGTGCCAAATCACCCGGGCCTCTTAGAGCACAGGAGCTGTGAAGATCAGTGTCCTGAGTGTCTGGTCAGTTTTTCGGGAAATGAGGAGCAGGACTGAAATTCCCATCTTTCTGCTGATTTACTGATGCTCAAAAAGGAGGTTGGAAACGAAAGGTGAAAAATAGACTCCAAAATTATGCATTTTTCCAGTGTGCGGTACAAAAGTTCAGGATCTATGGTTTTCCTGTACATGAACCTTATGAGAGCATTTCTTGTCATTTAAAAATATCTCTGTACCATGCTGTCTGCTAAACTTACCAGTTCATGTCTAATGCTCATATGGGAACCACTCGTTACTTTTGGAGAATCTAGAAAGGTGTAGACTGGCCATTTCCTGACACTTGCCACTATGTGCGGTACAAAAGTTCAGGATCTATGGTTTTCCTGTACATGAACCTTATGAGAGCATTTCTTGTCATTTAAAAATATCTCTGTACCATGCTGTCTGCTAAACTTACCAGTTCATGTCTAATGCTCATATGGGAACCACTCGTTACTTTTGGAGAATCTAGAAAGGTGTAGACTGGCCATTTCCTGACACTTGCCACTATTGCTCAGAAACCACTTAGTTCCCCTGTCTCTCTTCTGTTTCTTTGATTCCCGTTGGGGAACATTGGGATAAAGATCAGCTGTTACCTCCCTTGAGTGAATTTTTGTGCAGTTCCTTATGTTGGCTTTAGAGCTGGAAAGGATATGAGGCCTACTTAATAGACTTCTGGAGGAGGAGGTGTGCAATTGCATTGTGAGTAATGGGGTATATTTTAGTGAGTCTGAAAAGCAATGGGGTACTCTGCCATCCAGCTTGAGCAACTCGGACAAGTTTGCTGTACTGTTAAGCTCCAGAATGAGAGAATATCATGAGGCATACCTACTAAATTAAGAAATGTTAAAGTGTGGCAGGAATGTAAATCCTTGATATTAAACAAGCAATGCTAACATCTCAGCAGGATGGGATTCATATAACTCAGCACTTTAATGTGCTTGACGCTGTAGAAAAATAACACTATGCTAACAAAAATGAGTTATTAAACAAGCTTTTTTAAAAAAAACAAAAATAAGCCCCTTAAAGGTTGGCATTCTTGTGTTTACATTTGACGATCATTTGCACCTTTACAAGGAAAAACAAGTATTCTGTAAACAATTGTTTACATGTATCATTTATGCTTTTTTCTAGCATGAGTAACTTGTATAAATAGTAGTGTTACCTTAATAAATTTCTTCTATGCTGTTATTTATCACTTGTTCTTTTTGTGTAAAGCAATACATGGAGGAATAATTTAAGTTTCATTTTATGGCCTGACTGTGTTAATTTTGATTTTGAGAGAGAAAGAACAGGCCCATTGTACCATATCTGATAAAAACAGGACACAGATGAAATTCTCATAAGATGTTACAGTCCCACTCTCCAATAACATTATGGGGGCTAATCACTGCTCTGTTCGGGTATAATGGGAAGAAAAATGGCTCTCTGCCAACTGCACAGGGTATTTCTCAATAGGGGAGATATGTCCCTTAAGCATTTAGCATTGGCCCAGTGAAGACAACATACTGGACTGAACAGATGACTGGCTGAAACAGTTCCTATGCAAAACTGAGTTGTAGCCCTGCTGGTTGTGGAGAAAATGGTATGTGCCACATCATTAGCCTAGGAGTGGATTGTTCAGGACAAAACTACTTTTCTAGAGGGAAAGGTGGCCTAGTAATCTAACTCCAGCCTCAAAGTAATTCCACTGATTTACAGACAGGCGTTTATTCTAGTACACTACCAGCAAACCACTGTCATGTAACTCTGAACATATGGAAACAAAATTATTTTGCAGCAGGCTATTCATAGATGAAGTATTTTCAAAATTGGAATGTGGCTGTAGATCATGCAAGGGAATGGCTCACTGATGTAAGATTTTCTGTATCACAGGTACAGTAAAACTCCAATTGTCCGGCAGCCAGTCATCCAGCACCAGCTGGACAATTGTAGCTGCTCCGTGCTGCTTCCTCAAGTCTGCTGCTGCCACTGCTGAAACGACCAGCTGTCAACCTGGGGAAGTAGAGCAGAGCATCTAGGGTGCTGCAGGGTTGGTCCTGCAGTACTGCCCTCACCCCCCTGCTTGGTGCCTGGCAGCATCCCAATGGCTTCCCCAAGTCTGCCTGACCACTGGCAGACTTGGGGAAGCCCTGGGGCAGAGCAGCTGGGGTGCTGCCAGGTTGGTCCCGCAGCACCACTCAGGTGAGGGGCAGCGCTATAGGACCAACCCGGCA